GATCAACCAGCTGAAGAAAAGGCTTTCATCAAGATCGACGAGAACGTGTTTCGATTGTTGAGGTGCCTCCCAGGTCAAAGAACGGCTGCATCACAGTGGTTTCAGATGTTCTCACAAGCTTGCAAAGAGTTCAAACTGGAGCAAGGCATGATGCAGCCTACGCTGTTCCTGAGACAAGGAAACACGTACTTAACGGTGCATGTGGACGATGTCTTCATGGTGGGAACGCCTCAGATCCTTCAGGAATTTGTGATGTTCTTGAAGAATGTGAAGAGGTGGAAGGTAGAGGCGAAGGGGCCGTTCACTGCAGGAGAGAAATTCCTATATCTCAAGAGGCAGTTCAAGATCACAGACGATCACTGCGACATCAGGTGTGACAGAAAGCAGTATTATGGGCTTGAGAAGGAATTGGACTTGTTCTGCAGAGCATATCGAAAGACGCCCCTTGATCAGAACTTCACAAGGAAGGATGATTCATCACTCCTGGAGGCAGATGAGGTGACAAAGTTCAGGAGCATTGTTGGAAGACTGATGTATATGGCAAGTGAGAGGCCGGATGCACAGTTTGGGATCCAGTGTTTGGCAAGGAAGATGTCAGCGCCAACAAAACAAGCTCTGAAGAATGCATGGCACCTATGCTCATACCTCCAAGGAACCATCGATTATGGTGTGAGATTGTCCAAGAGGGAGAAAGGAAGATCAGTGCTGGACACCAGAGAAGATGAGGAGATCAATAGCGGTCCTGCACATTTGGTGGAAGTCCTGACGGATGCAGACTATGCAGGAAACAGAGATGACAGAAAGAGCACCACATCGTTCCAAGTGTTCATTGACGGAAATCTCATTGAGAGCAGAGTCAGGACACAGAAAGCCATATCACTATCCTCAGGAGAAAGTGACTTTCTCCTGCGGTGGTGGCAGGATGCTCGGATGGCATGCTGATCAAGCATTTGCTCAACAAGATGACAGGAGGAAGCTGCCTGATGAAGATCAGAACGGATAGCTCAGCTGCCAGATCCATGGTCCAGCGCCAAGGCATTGGACGTGTGAGGCATCTGGATGCATCGTTGCTATGGGTCCAGCAAAAGGAGAGCGAGAGAGCTTCCAGTATAGCAGCAATTCCGTCAGAGTTGAACAGTGCAGACATCGGCACGAAAAGCTTGACAAGGAAAAGGTTGCTGGCCTTGCTCTACATGATGAAGTTTGTGGACTCGGTTGGCGACAGAGTCGGCACTGAAGAGTACAACGACCTCGAGTACCAGTACCAGATCAAGAAAGGAGCCAAGAAGATGATGAAGTCAAAGGACATCCGCATCGGCCTACTGCTACTGATGGCAAACATGAATTCAGTGGCTGGAAGCCAAGTCGAAGCAGAAGAAAAGGCAAATACCGACTATGGATGGTGGGCACTAGTTTTCTGTGCCGTGATCGGAGCCTTGAGCACATTGAGGTGGCTTCGGATCTTCATGATTGAAGGTCTCTATGGCATGCTGGGTCGGATGATCAAGTATGAGACCTCAGCAAGGCAGGAGACCACAAGCCAGAAGTGCGATCAACAGACTCAAGCAAATGAGTGGATCGTTTCCTACATCTGGCAACAATATGAGGAAGAGAAGCAAGAAACGGAAGAGGAGATGCACGACATGCAAGCTGCATTGCTGGAAGCAGAAGAAATGATAGGTCATTTGCAAGAAGACCTGAAGGAGGTTCGACGTCAGCGAGACGACAACCTCAACATGTTTTTGAAGAGCCAGCAGCAGCAGATCAAGTTGGAGAAGAAGATATGTAATCTCCGAAAGGCACCGAGTGGACATGTCATCCATTTTGACAGCCGGTGCCGGTATTGGCAAAAGGCCAATGATGCTACATTTTGTAGTACGTGCCAGGATGAAGGGGCCGTGTTTGAATATGAGGGAAATCCAGAACATGATGTAACCACCCAATCATCCTGACACTTCCGACGCGCAGGCTCGAGTGTTTCCGGAAAATCGGTTGCGCGCTGCTTTGCAGTTCTGGGAAATCGTCAGGCTTGAAGTGCTCGGCTGGGACCGACTCATAGTTCTCGTTCGTGAAGGTGTAGGCGAAATCGAATGCTTCGACCTTGTGGCCAAACAGGCCTCGCACCATGACTCGAATGGCATGTGCGTCAAGTTGTGGTGGTCTTGCACCTCTCGGCTCGGCATCTTTGGCACTTTGATTTGGATTGGTTTTTACATTTTCTTTACTATGCCAGCTTCGAACTCCCACTTCATCCTCAGCTTGAAGTTGTGAAGCTGAAGGAGTAGTTTCTTCTTTGTTCCACTTGTAGGCAAACCTCTGTCAGAGCATGCCTTCTTCAACGTCTTGCCATCATCCTCTATCGTGCAGACTTTGTCATCGATGGCCACTTCTTTTGCAGGGTCTCTCTCGTAGTGTTGAGGTTCCTCCATTTCCAGCGCCCACTTGTCGGCGGCTCGACCTCGTACCAATCTTCATCATCCCACTCGATCTGATGCCAAGCATCCTTCACTTTCGGGAAGGGTGCTAAAGGAACTTCTCTGCCTTCTTCGTAGAAGTCTTCAAATTTCGAAGGCGAAAGGGATGTCAGGGTCCTCTGTGACTCTGTGGGTCCCACGAAGGTACCAAGTACCTGAATGCCTCTTTGCCCTGCTCCTTGTTGTTCTCGATTTGGCGCATCATCGTTGAGCATGCCCTCTGGGTTCAAAAACTTGTCAGCTGTGGCGTCAGAGTAGACTGCCACACCATTTGCCAATCTGTGCCATCCTGGGTTCCTTGAGATCGTCATGAGCCCCTTGCTCGTCAAATAGCCTTCCAAGATGTTCTCTTTCTATCTCTGGGCTCTCAGTGCGCCCTCTCACATCGTCATCTCCCCGAGCTTGCCTTTCTTTTCGAGTCTCTTGATCTCCCTCTTCACCACCAGCTCCTCATCATCTTTAACTTTGCTGATGCGCACCATTTCGATCTTTGCGCTCGTATGGATACTGTGGTTTTCCAAGTGCAGGGATCACGATGTCAGTCTTTGGATTTGTCAGGCATAGGCCGCACTCTCTATGCTCGGTGGCCCGGCCTTTCCTCGGGGGCTTGCCAGCGCACGACAGTGGCTGCTTCACCTGCCCCAGAGCCAACTGCTCTCGAATCTCCACTCTTCTGCCATCTGAGCTCGTCACCATGAGCTTGGCCTTCGTGATGCCTGCCGAGGAAATTTCTCTCCCCCGGGCGTCAATCATCTTGACCCTTGCATTGGGGTCATACTTTCCCACATTTGCAGGCCCGTCCGACGGGCAGCACTGAAATGTCAGCACCTGAATCCAATGTGATGGACACGGTGTCATCTCCACTTGCTCCTGTCTCTTGGATAATCCTCGCGTGGTGCTGCCTCCTCTCTTCACTCCTGTCCTCCTCTGGAATCACTTCCAGACATCCACAGGGGCTTCTTTCATCTGAGTTTCTTGGGCTTGCTCGTCAGGGGCAGTCACCATGTAGACCCGGCTCCCTGGACCTTTTTTTGAGGAGCAGTCACCAAATCGACCCGGCCCCCTCGCTCGAACCTTCAGTGAGGTCGAACAACTCTGTAGTTGTCATATCCGGTGGCGTCATGAGTCTGACCCTTCTCACGGCAGTAGACTGCGTGTCTTTCGATGACGCATTCTGGCCTGCTTGTCATCTTGGACCTGATTGATCCTCTTTGGGCTCCAGCGCAGACGCGCCAGATGTCTTTGCCTTGGCATCCTTTCCTTTTCCATCTTTTCCTTTGTCCTTCCCCTTGGGCTTTCCTTTCTCTGTCTTGCCTTCGCTCCGAGCACCTGCGCTCTCGCCCTCGAACGGGCTGCAGCCCGCGTCTGTCGTGAAGCTGGCGCCCGGGTCGCCGCCCACACACTGCTCTCCGACCTGAACCTCACACGCCTGGGTGAGCGGCGCATCGAGGTCATAGGCAACGGCCTTCCTCTGGCACGGAGCTCAGGTTGCAGTTGGTACCACGCTATATCACACTTGTCTCTCCTCTGACTGACCGCGTCCGGCAGCCCCGTCGCAGAGCCGGTACTTACCGGGCAGCCCTTCCACGACATCCGGCGCGCGAAGGAGTGCACCTATAAGGTATACCTGGAACTTCTTCGGCCGCGCTAGTGCCGACTCGTCGTTTTCGCAATCGAGGTTGGAGGCCGATGGAGTTCGGAAGCCGCCTCCTTCCTCCGTTTTCTTGCCCAGGCCCGTGCCCGCCAAGCTCCTATCGCCTTCCGACACGCCACCGCGCAGGCGCTTGTCAGCCGCTGCTCAACTCTCCTGACCCATGCTGCCATGCACCTTTGCAGCCAGCCTGCTTGACCCCCACACCGCCTCGACGGCATCCTCCCTCCTCTTGCCAGACCCCCTCCACAGGAGGCTCCGCCTGCGGGGGTGAGGCTGTCCCAGTGGCCTGGACTTGACCTCCCAGCACAGCCGGGGCCGCCGGTATACAAATGGCCGAGAGACACCGCGGAAAAAAGGAGCGAACAAAAACAAACAAAACAAAACTTCTTCAGACGCGCGAAGCAACTTCATCGCCCCTCTCAGACAAGCACGACTTGACTCAAACCCTGCTTGTAATGAGGAAGTGGCAGGGAGATTGTCCATAATAGATCATAATAGTGCCCATGATCAGGCTGCACGAACGATCCTGCCCGAAGGGTGGCGTTTGGGGACTTGAAATTTCCGATATGAAGTCAACACAACGATCAATTTCCTGAACTGGAAAGAGCTGCCTGTCCAAACTCCAAACAAAGAAAAATTGAATCTGTTGAACTGGAACAATGCGGGCGTTCTTGGGGAATATCGACCATGGTAAGTTAAAATTCATCGAAACATGTGATCGCTGCAACGTTCCATCCCGTTGTGCATGATTTCTCGGTGTCATTTTGTTATAGAATGTAAATTGTCAACACCACCTTTGTTCATAGATCTTGTGATTTGCTTGAAGGTGTTGTCCCGCCGGGTATTGAAAAGAAGATGTCGCGTTGGCCCAACAAGTTTGGCTCCAGGCTGTTTTGCCGGTTTTTTCTTAGAGCGCTGAGGGGCGCTTGATGGGCGCCTCGGCGCCAGATGGAACGAAAGAGGATCACGAGAAGCAGAGCCAGCCCAGCGATGCTTCGGCCAGCGCTTCGGCCAGCGCTTCAAACGCCAAGCCTGAGAAGGACGGGACCAGAGCGGCTGAAGCCAATGGAGCCTCTAGCTCAGCAAGCGCGCCTTCGGGAGCGCAAGCAGAGCAGACACGGGAACAGCCTGAAAAACAGGAGGAGGAACCGCGACAGCCGTATGTCCCGGCCAAATGCCATTATGAAGCCCTTGGCGTTCAGGCTGGTTATTCAATGCACTGAAAACAAGTTGGGACGGTTGGACCTCTATTTCCGCATATCAACCACACCCGACAAACTCAAACCAGTAGCATGGACCCAACTTGTTTCGGAAATGCAGCCTTCCAGGGGCCAACTCATAGTCCATGTGTGCTTTGGAGGGTGCCGTGTTACCAGGCAACCGCCACTGAGAGCGAGATCAAGAAGGCGCGTTGATGTGGTACATTTTTGGTGCGTGCCTCCATGACAGGAGCCGAGGAAGGGGGAAGGCTGTGAATTTACATGTTATTGTTTGGGCGTTCTGCCTGCCATGCCTGACTTGAGCAGGCTTACTATGATTTGAGCAGGGTGCATCATCCAGACAAAAATCAACAAGATCCGCACCTTGCATTGCAAAGAGTTCCAGTGAGTCCAGCTTTATTGAAAGACATCAGGATTTTACACAACCAAGGGACGCCAAAGTTCGATTCCAGAGGATCGGAGAAGCGTACCAGGAGCTGAGGGACAGAACGAAACGTGCTGCGGCTGCATCGTTTACTGTCTACTTCGTGGCTTAAAGATCGGCGCTGTTGCTGTAGGTTGTGTGCTTTTGATGAGGGCATTTCATGCAGGTTACATGCTTTTTGGAGCTTAGTACCTTCAACACCGTCAGGCCATGTCATGTGGTAAACAATGATACCTACCAATTGGCAAAGCAATCCAAAATGACTGCCCGTGCATCACGCACAACACAGAATCGAATGCAACAAGGGGTAGCGCACGTCTGAGGCTTGGAACACATCAGACATCATGATGTCACGATGGCTTGTCCGAGGTGCAAAATATGATGCCACAAAATTCCTCGAACCAATCTTTCAAAGCATAGGCTGGGCCGCCTGGGTTGCAGGTTGGAGCTTTGCCAACATTTGGTCCAACTCGACCTGAGTGGATTGGCCTTTGCGAGGCCAACCGGTGAACGAGATGGTGGCCAATTGGGTGTCGCAAAACTTGGTGCCAGGGGCGAAGGTAGAGAGCATGGAGATCGATCGAAGGTATGTGGAGCAGCTGAATCCCAATTTGTGCCTTGGAGAGAATAGAATGATGAGCAGCCAGGAGTTGATCAAACATGATCAAACCACACAGTTGATCAAGAGAGCTTTGTTCCATTTTCTGGTGGTTTTTTCTTTCAAAAAGTGACCAGGGGGTCCCGGGAGTCGCACTTTTTTCTGGCGAAATAGGGAAGATACGGATCAAACTCCCCGAAAGCAAGTAAAGTAATATATATATATACTGAATGTATACATGCACACACATATTTATATACATATATAAATATATCTAAGTATATACATATATATATAGCTTATACAACTATAAACTATATGAATATATTGTGGAGACATTGATTGTTGTTCATTGAAGACAGCACTGGGGGCAGAAACGTGCCCCCCAAAGTTGCAGACAACCTACACCCAGATGGTCTTCCCATGTTTCCTGTGTTTTGGTTGCTGTTTTGGGACTCTGAGTTGGAGACGCACAGGATTTCCACACTGCCCGTAAAGAGGGTTGAACAAACGGAATTAGATTTGCACCAATTTCCATATCTGCATGTTCTCGGAATCTGTAGTTGTTTTGGTGAGATGTGCAGCGAGATCTTGCAACAGGCGGGCTCTCCAGAATCATTGCCAAGCACAGTTCTACCAGTTTCACACCCATACTCGCGGAGAAGCTCAGTTGCATAGACATTGCAAATCCATCGTCAGTTTTTGTCTGAAGTCATGCCGTCCCACGTTTTCAGATGATGTCTATGAGATCACAGCTCCATTGAATCAGACGCCGGTAGGTGCAAAACACTCACCCTTCGAGGGCTCATGTTCGACTTTGATGGGCGTGCTTCTTCTGTTCATGATATGACTTCCTTTTCGCCGACGATGGGCTTAATTAAGACGACCTGGCTGCTCCAGGTTGTCTTGATCGTGGGGCAACCGGCGAATATCACAAGGGGGAGGCAGGCGTTGAGAGAGTTCATGGAAGAACTCACTGGGACCCGCGCTCCCAGAGATGGGTTGGTCTTCATCGTTCCACCGAACGGCTTGAATCGTATGCCGATGATGGCCGCCAATTTCCAGAACCTCTCCTGGCAGTTGCTGAGCTGATTGGTGCACTATATGTGTGAAGCTTTTCGTTGAAACATCCGATTCCTGAATTATCAATCACCACTGGAGGTATGGTGCCCACATCAACCAAGTGGCGCAGGATCGAATCGTCGCGCGGGGCGGCCCCCGGCTACCGGCGGTCGTGGCACAGCTGCAGCAGTGGATGGACTTCCGTGGAACGGTTCAGCCACTCGACGATGTGTGGGCCTAGGGTGTGATGTGCCGAAGCATTTTTTGGGCTGTGATCCAATTGACATACGGCGTAGAGACCAAAGCAAGAAGAAACAGAGATCATTTATGATCGTTCCATTATCTTTCTTTTTGCTTTTCCTTCTCTCGCAAAACGTCGAACAGCCGAAGAACAACATGATTTTTCAGAGAACCATTTGTCAAACAGATCGTGAGCGACATCAACCCAACGGGGGTTGAAAGCTCCGGTTATGCCACGATAAGCATTTTGATCCTCGCGGTCCAGTCACTAAATCCGCTTCCCATTGCGCCTGCGATGGCCACTAAAGGTTCCCAGATGGGCAGACGCTGGATGCCTGGCAATATGCACATGCGTGTGAGCTGGGCGGCATCACAGGCAGGATGAAGAGCTCAGCATTTATTGAGACTGGAATGAAACCAGGTGACTAGGTCATGGTGAGGCCGAATGGCATGCCCAACTAGTGCAGACAGTCGACACTCAAAAAGAACTCTGCTTGTGTGACAGGTGGCTTGGAACCACCCAGAGAGCCTGATGCAGCTGCTGCCCGCGGGTTGATGTGTCATGCCCTGCAAATGGCCACATCGGAGCAGCCCTTGAACTTGCTGCAATTAGCAGTGAGATGTTTGCAATCCAAGATTCAGCTTACCAAACCCTTGGCACGAGCCGTCTCCTGTGAGTCAGTCTATGCCGAGTACCAGCGCTTGCCCAGCAAGCAGGGTGCACCCTTGGTGTGCGCTTTTGCTCAAAAGCTCATCAGTCAAACCGTAACGTTTCATCGGAATTTTACCACGGATTCCAATGTGCAGACCCTGATGCGTTTGGGCCCTTTTCTGGATGGGAACGATGGCATCGTTCTGAGATCAAAAGGATACATTGCAGCCAAGGAAACTGTCCCACCTGACCCTGAGCTCAGTGAGAATAGTGAACGCATGCGTTTTGTTGTTTTTCCAGCTTCTAGCTAAGTTTGCTAAGTTGGTTGATAGCACTTACTCAGGCATAATTCAGGCCTTTAAAAATTGTATTATAGTGACGGACAATCACTTAGAACAAATCGGTGAAAAATAAGCAAGAAAATTGAGCTGCAAAACCTTAGACTTAGAACATGCAAAAACCTGACACTTAGAACATGATAAACCCATCACTTTGTCCGTCACTATTCAAGGTTGGGTAAACATTTCAGGCGATTGGGTTGAAATGCTGTAGGGTCGCTACGAGGAGCAAGGATGCTACTAGGGGCTCCCGGCCTTACTACTAGGAACAAGGTTCGCTACGAGCAAGGACGCTACTAGGGGCTCCTGGCCTTACTACTAGGAACAAGAAGCTATTAGTGACAAAGGGCATCGCCACTATATAGGAGCAAGGGTGCTACTAGGGGCTCCTGGCCTTACTACTAGGAACAAGGTTCGCTACTAGTAACAAAGGGCATCGCTGCTAGGAGCAAGGATGCTACTAGGGGGTTGTACTGTGTATGTTCTAAGTGCAGGATTTCAATTGTTCTAAGAGCAAGGCTTAGAACGCATTTGTTTTGTTCTATGTGTTGGGTCCTCGGCATGTTCTATGTGACTATTTTTTGGTGAAAACAACTATGTTCTAAGTAATTGTTCGTCACTATAATAATCGTAATAACAGTCAATCCAGCTTTTGTTGACCATGTTGACCTGGCACAACGAAGGATGGACAGTGGCACAAGTGGGAGGAGGTCTTGCGGCCAGATGGAAGGCTCGCGATTTTCTGGAAGGACTTAAGGAAGCTCCTCCAAGAAAAGCCTCCTCGCCATGGAGGGATGCTCCCACCACCCGCCGAGTGGCATTCGGTGCCAGAGGTCATGGCCACAGTGCTGAAGCATTGCGTGGGTTCAGACTTGCAGTTGGATCCTCAACAGGGCCTCCTCCGAAAGCCTGAGCCTGCTGCACCTGCCGCTCCACAGGCACCGTCCGGTGAGTCCAGTGGGGCAGCTGAAGCAGCTGTGCCAGAGGTCAGCGAAGAGCTCACACAGACAGAGGAGGCTGAAGATGTGATTCATGGCCTCAGCAAGCAGCGCGATTCCGGGGCTTATTTGGAACTGGGCCATGTGACACAGAACATTCAGAAGCGGAGTGGGCAGACGGACAAGATCTCCAAAAAATGGTATGAGCAATACAAGCTCTCTTTCGATGTGCAGAAGGTTGGGTCTTCGGACTTTCGAGTGAAGCTCACTCCAAGTGGGTACAAGAGAGCTGAAGTGAGGAGTATAGAAAGAGAGCGGGAATGCCTCAGAAAGCAGGAGAGGGATGTGGCTGAAGCAGTGCTCAAACGCCTCCAGCAGCAGCAGGATCTACCGCGAACACTGCGTGAACCTGAGCTGTGTGCACTACTACTTCTTGCAGGTGAAACTTCATCAGTTTCATCTGACCTGCCTGCGATGATCTTAAAGCGCCTTTGTGCCAAGCCTGAAGGTGGTAAGGGCGTCTCTGCGGCCGATCTGCTTGGAGCAATCCGACCCTTCAACACATCTCAGGTGCAAAAAGACCAATTATAATCAATTAATATCAATTTATATATACAAGATTTTGCACGTTTTGGTTTTACCATGTTGGGCAATGCGGATTATGAACAGTAGGTAATGGAATATTTGTTCCCCTAGGTTTTGGCAACACACTTCAGGTGATGAACGCCATCGTTTCCTGTTCAAGGCTTTTTCGATTGCCCAATTTCGACGAGGACTCCTTGGTTGCTATCATGCAAGCGGCAGCCTTGGACATGCATGACACCGAAAAGAACCCTCGTCGCTTTTGGGCTCCCCTTCAAGTGGTTCGTGATTGTGTGCTGTCAGCTGGTCGAGCTCCCTTCGTAGATCTCTTCAAACAGAGAAAGTCACCCAAAGACAAGATGCTTGTGGCTTCCGCAGCCTTGCGGGTGAGCATGGAGGTCTCCAAGACGGAGGAGAATGCCTGCCCTGTTTGCCTCTCAGATGGCTACAGCAACTTCGAGCCTTTTGCTGAACTGTGTGCGGCACTGGCCAATCTGTACTATCTCGTCTCGCCCCATATCCAAGAAGAATCGGTGACTGAGGTGGCTTGCTCTTGTTTCTTTTTATCTCGTAAATCCTGTGTTGATCGGCCCGAGCCTCATTGCACCTCGCAGTTCAGCCTTTGTTCTTCAGGCCTTTGATAAATTGGCGATGGCATGCCAAAGCTTTTGCAATTGCATCTCTAACCGGAAGCCTTCTGGGTTGGCTCGACTGGCCTATGCCTTTGCGACGATGGGTTCCTTCCACCAGAATCAGAAGCAGGTCACAGCTTCCCAGCTCGGCTTGGCGCAAGTCTGCAAGGCCAGAGATGAAACAGACAATTATGTTAGCCTACAACCTAATGGGCCAGAGATGAAGACACTAAATACGCGATTCCAGATTCTAGATCTGAGTGGGTGTTCTGGTGCAACCTGAGCTAGATCTTGCGTTATGCAATGGTACAAGATTGGTTGGATGGACTTATGAGGCATTTGAACCGCATGAGCTGCTGACTCCAGAAGGCTCCCAGCCTCCAGTGACTAACTTCACGCAACGTTGGGTAGCGTGAGGGGACAATATGAGAGACCCCCAGGGTTGCATGAATGAAACCAGTTCCAATGGGTCAGATATGCTAGCAGCATTTGCTAGAGCCCTTCTGATGCCCCGGAGGTGCTTCTAACTTCAGTTTCTTGGCATTTGACCGAGCTGAGCGCGTGAAAACACACATGGGAGTTGATCGAAAACCCCGTGTAAGGAGTTTTATATAAAACAGCCTTTCAGATGTTGTTAGAACCATCCGCGAAAGATTCGCGATGAGGTTCGCGAAAGTATTATTTTTTCCGCGAAAGATTTATCGAAGGTCATCGCTTTCATACGTTTTCCTTTCTAAGGGACTGACAAAGAATAGAAATAGAAGGCAATCTTCCGGCAGAGCCGGTGGGCGGAAGTGCCCCCATATGTCACAGACTAACGAATTGAAGCCTCAATATTTCCGTGCCCAGCCCTGGCAGTGCGTAAAGGATTCTCCGATTCCTGTCCCCACTGTCATAGACAAGCAACCTGAGTAGGCGCAGCCCTGACAGTGAGGCAACGACCTGCAGCTGCTCTGACGGGCTGTGCAGATGTTTGCATACGGCTTCCCCGGGAAAGTGCCAGTGAAATTTCGCGAAAGATCCGCGAAAGTTTCGCGAATGTGCCGCTAAAGTCCAGGTCCCCAGCTTGAGGCCCCCCAACATTCCCCAAGCTGCATCACCCTGTGTTGGTAGCTGGCACGAGGATTGGGTTGAGTTGCGCCACAGATGCTGCAAGTGACCCTGAGTAGCTGTGGAAACATTCAACCTTCTACTGTGGTCATGCTGCAAGATGTCTGTCCCTATTTTGTGATACTATGACATGTTCCGGCTCATGTTAGCTAGATATGGTTGTAGGACCATGCTTCGCGATGAGGCCGCGAAAGATCCGCGAAAGATATCTTTTTTCCGCGAAGAATGGCCATTCCAGGATGAAAGAATATTGATCAACCACCACATACACAGCCATTGCCAATGGCCGAGACAGGCGTGGCACACTAACGTAAGTTACTACCGTCGGATGCACTCCAACCGAGTCATTTCACCCGAGTGTGCTACGCTGCCGGAGGATGTGTCCTTTCTGCGTGATTCGGCTGCGTGTGTGCATCACTCTTTGCCTGAGATATTAAAAATTATTAAAGATCCCCGTCGATTGTATGCATTTGTGCCGACAGGCGTGTGCACCCTGCAGAACCATGCAGAAAAGACACCCGCAGCATTCCCGCAACAATTCATTGTATGTGGTGCAGCCTTTCTATCTCGGGATTTTTCAGGAACTTCCCAAAGTAGCGAACAAGGCAACAGGTCAGGGGCAGTTTTTCCTCGTTTTAGTTTTCCAACCAGCTGAGCTGGCCGGTCGGATGCAAAGTAGTGCCGGAATTTGGGTGCGGGAGGGAGTCGACAACGTCACGAAATCAAACCAGATTCAGGCCTCTGAGATGATAAAGAAAGAAAAGGGCAGTTCAAAAACATGGTAAGCAATTTGAACAAGAACATTTCAAAGGAATAACATCCTGACCAACCGAGAGTCCGATGACTTCCAAAAATGCAAACTCCGTCAAAAAGGAACAGCATTAAAGGGCAAGTGAAGCCATCACAGCTGCAAGCAATTGGTGAACCATCTAAGCTCAGAAAACATGAAACGTCATAAGCGGTATTGTGTGGCGTCATGTATTAGGCCGCTTGCCAAAACCCCTGGAAAGTCCAAGAAACTTGGACGAACTGATTATAACACCGAGGACATGAAGGAAGCGAATGGGTGGCATCTAGCTGATTTGAACACCATCGCTGCCAGCTATGCCACCAGTACGCTGAAGGACGAGAAGCTCTTCTCGAAGCTGGCGGCGGCCACAGCAGAGATCTCGCCAGAGAAGCTGATGCTCGGTTGCGGTGCCGTGTGGAAGCTGGTGCACCGCTGGACGGCTGGCAAAACAGCTGGTGCACTTCAGCCTTTTCCGACTTCCCACATGTTATTGGGGCGCTAGGATGCTAGATACATCATTAACACACACACACATGGAACCGCGCTGAGGAAGCGGGATCAAGTGCTGAAAACGATCCACAGCTTCAACCGGGCTGGATTTCTGAAGAAGCTGGAGCCGCCACTTGACACCCACTGGGCTATAGGTCAATAGAGTCAAAAGTGAACGCCCAACGTCGAGTAGATGGGTGAATTTTCTTGGTTTGGCCCATTCAGTTCATTGTTGGCTGCGCACAATCCCCAAAAAGTTTAAACGCATGTAGGCTGGTGGCAAGACCACATTTAATGATATTAAATGCTTGAATGACCTGGAGGAAGAGTTCGAGAGGTTTGCGCACGTTCAAACTGCTTGGTGGGCGTTCTTCCGTGTGCGGCCATTCCTCAACGTTGAAATCTTTCACTTGCAATGAGGTTCCTGAAGCAGTTGGCAGCAAAGAGCTGGTTCAAAAAGAACTTGGCAGATCCCCAAGAGAAGCAAGAGATGAAGGAGAAGATGACATCTGGGTGTCATTAGATAAATGTTCTGTTGGTCGGCAAAGCCAACATGGGACTTAGAACAAAATAGACAGTGGCATTTTCAGGTGGCACGCCAAACATCACACATGTGCAATCATGTGCGTGGCATACTGACTGGTGCTTAGTAGGGAATGAGGGAATCTGCCCCTAATAGAGGTTCCTTTGGATATCTTTGGATCCAGCCACCCTCATTCCCGACGAGTCGCACAAGTCAGATGTGCATGGGTTGCAGGGTTGCATAGTCTAATGGTGTTTGGTTTCCAGGACGTTCCCGCACTTGTGGCGGGAATGATTTGCTCACAAGACTTTTCCTCGCTCGACGAAGTGGAGAAGCACCTGCGGAAGGACGGATGCGCCATCTTTGGTTGATTATGCGTGCTGCATTCTGTCACAAGATAAACAATATGGGGTCTAAAACATGCGGTCGTGTTGAGGAAAAGCAATGCATATTTCAATATATTTCATATTGTCTTGGTTCAAAGGCAGTTTGTACACAACTTCCTCGTCCAACGTTACACTTCTTTGTGAGCCTTGATTGATGGTTTGGCGGGACACGGGAGCCTGAAGCGAAGGACCGAAAGTCAGAGGTCCCGATGAGCACGCTGGTTTCGATCGTCAGGGAGCTATCAGACAACAGCAACACAAAGGCGTCCGAAGAAGCGTCAGAAGTTGCTTTTACTTTTGCGGATGATATTCGGTTCTTTAAATTCTTGACTTTGTGTCATGAGAGCTTCTGACGTGGTTAGCTTCCAAAGCTTCTTCAGGGTTTCAGGTCTTCATCCAAGGCCTTCTTGGGCGCTGTGTGGTTTGTGTGATATTGGTTTGAGGCTGTGAACCTCAAGCGCAGTGTGCTAAATATGGTGGTAACAGCAATGAAAGGATTCTCGGCAAGCAGGAATTCGTTCCAGAGCTCTTTGGATGACAAAAGCATGGGAGGACCCTTTCTTTCAAGTGCTCTTTGTTCAAGGGCACATGCTGGAGGTTTGTCCATGAACCAAAAATATCCGCAAACGATGACCCTGCTGTCAGTCTTCCACCATTTTACCCTCTTCTCATCTGAGGAAGCAAAGCTCCACCAAATGATGAATTGGAAAGACTTCTCCAAGTTGGTTGCTACGAAGACGAAGCTTCTCTCAGCTTGCTGCGGGAGGTGTGCTGCAACAGCGCCTCGGCAAAGTCAGAATGAATCGAATTTGTCCGAGTGCTGACTTCCAGTGCTTGCATCTTTTTTGAAGGAGAGCGCTGGTGCTGTAGGTGATGGGAAGACATTTCGATAGTAATTGAGAGAGGAACCACACAAGCAGAAGACTTCCTGAAAATGGTCGTACCAACCACACGAAACAAACGTGCAACAAACGTCCGGGTATTCGGCCCAGGACGTCGATTAGAATCTATACCAAGAGCCACTGCAGGCGTGGAGTTGCTTGTGTTGGCCCAGTGAAACGAGGGCAGTCCTCAAAATTTTCAAACACTTTTTGCTGTCCGAGAGCATTTAGCGCTAAAAATTCCTCATTGTGTAGAATGTGCATGTATGTCTTGTCCATCCACCACATGTGCAGAATCATGTGGAAGGGCACCAAAGACTTGCGTTGAGGATGGTTAGACCTGATCAGTTCGTTCGAAAGCCACTCTGCAGCACGGACGGATCAGGGGCTCATCGGGCTCGGTGAAAGCTCCCGGTTTCATTCGCATCGATTCCAAGTCGCGTAGGCGACACCAGGCCACTGGCACTGGTGGCCTGTCTCTCTCGGTGAGGTTGCGGCGAAGTCTTCGGCCTTGTTAGCTAGTAGCTTTCTGTTACTATTAGTGATGGCCTCCAACCTAATAGCGATGTGTTTCAACCTATATAATTAGTAGCTTCTTGTTACTAGTAGCGATGCACTTGTTACTAGTAGCTGTGGGTCGTCCTAAGGATTGCTCACCCCCTTCACCAAAGCCAAGACTCGAGTGCCGCGCCTGGAAGCTGCTTGTGCTGGACGATTGATGGAAGCTCTGGAGAAGAAGGGAGTGCGCCAGCCACATCGACAACGGTGTGGTATTTTGTGTGTGTGTGTGTCTCCACTGTGTGTGTTGTGTTGTGCTAGCAGGCAGACACCCTCCCCAGGGAAAACAGTTCTTTTGTTTCAATTGTTTGTTCTTTTGTCCTGTTCGGCGGTGATTGGTCGATGGAAAGGCCGGTATGCAAGGACATTTTTTGCTCGTTTACCACGGTGGTCACGAGGAAACATAGAATCCCTGAGGGAGCGACCTCTGATTCAGCTGCGAACCATTGGTTCACGGGCAGTTTACGCGTTCTTGATGGATGCCACATTTTGTTCATGGTACTTGTCAAAGCCGAGCGCAGTTTCACAGCGGACTCATGCTGAACGACGAAGACAGGAAGAGAGCTGCACCAACACATTCAGGACAAAACAGCAGCAAGAAACATATAGTTATTTCAACTTTTGCAATTTTCACGCGAGATGTTACGTTGGACAACTATTTTCACATTACAACGTTCACATACTTGCCACGACCCTAGAAACCAATCTCTCGTTCTCCTTTTGACCACGGGTGTGCCTCAAAGGAGCCCTGAAACCGCAACCACACACTCGAGATATTGTGTATGGAACTGAATGCCACATGCCACACGCCCACCTAGGTATGAACGCCCAAGAGCTCCAGTTCCAGGAAAAGGTACGAGTCCCAAAGATCTCAAAGTTCACAAGTTCACAAGTTTCAAAGAGCTCCAAGTTCACAAAGTTCTCGAACGAGCGCGAAAAAGGAAACGAGAGTCGACGAGTGCACTCCGCAGACCTGTATCATCCTGCAACAGCCTGAGGACCTCTACGGTTGGAGAATGGCTACAACATTCACAAACTGCAGGTACAGGAAGGTGATCAGCCTTCCCTTCCCATCCATGACCGTAGCTTCGTTGCACACGGTGGGTCATGGATGCCGTGTGCTCCTGCTTACATCTAAATTCAATGTGCACAAATCAACCGGCCCCCTGTGACCCCAAGGGTTTCACACACACACACGCCCCCTACATGGGGGGGGCCAAAAACTAAGGGGCAAGCACATGTGCATGTGTGCGCTCAAAGAAGACAAACATGAAGACGTGGGAAGGGAACAAAGCAAGACCATTGCGCGTGGCTGCGATGAAGGGGAAGCCAAGCGAACAGGGACAACCAATGAACCAGACCTCATTATCAAGACCTGGGCGACCTGAAGCCTGGCGAAGCCAGACCTCATTAAAACAAACCTATGTAAACCTGAGTTGGGTATGTAAGAGCTGTGTGTGTACCTAAGGTTGGGACAGACCCCGCTGGGTCTTGAACAAGCTCCGGTCGCTGAAGCCTACTCACGTCCGCTGTGGACACGCTCTGGCGGCTGCCTACTCTAAAATACACGCCCACCTAGGTATGAACGCCCAAGAGCTCCAGTTCCAGGAAGAGGTACGAGCCCCAAAGATCTCAAAGTTCACAAGTTCACAAGTTCCAAAGAGCTCCTAGTTCACAAAGTTCTCGAACGAGCGCGAGAAAGGAAACGAGAGTCGACGAGTGCACTCCGCAGACCTGTATCATCTACGGTTGGAGAATGGCTACAACATTCACAAACTGCAGGTACAGGAAGGTGATCAGCCTTCCCTTCTCATCCATGACCGTAGCTTCGTTGCACACGGTGGATCATGGATGCCGTGTGCTCCTGCTTACATCTAAATTCAATGTGCACAAATCAACCGGCCCCCTGTGATCCCAAGGGTTTCACACACAGACACACCTAAGCCTTAACCAGCACAGCACGATGTCCGTCATGTTTGACTGTTCGGACCCTTTCTTCAAAGAGAGACGCGATGGAAGTTGAGCAGTCATGAGAGCAATCCCGCATGGAAAGATGGTTAGCAGTGAGCTTCTCCTCAACACACTCTCCCAAGCACATGCCAATTGTCAAAGAGATATTGAAAACCCCCTAAACATGAACATCATCTTCTAGGGAACTCCAGACATCACAGCTGGAAAATATAACAGGGGAACTGAGCTGACCTCCAGGTACTCCAAAGCGGAAAGCAACATGACCCGAACGTGCTCAAAAACGTGCTCACCGCCGGACTTCTCTTCTCACCGGAAGCATTCGCAACTTGGCAAAGGCGCAGAGTAGTCATCACTTCGCAGGCCTATAAGTCGGCACACCCCAGAAAATCTGTTCCTCGGGTCACTTTAGGGCACCCTTCTCCATTTGGGGTGGTTTCCGGGCTCTTGTCAACAGGCTAGAGGAGGAGAACAAACCACCGGAGGACAGGCAACCAGGGCAACAGCAACGTGACAGATAGACTCCTTCAGAGAGAAAAAGAGGCAATGGCCTTCCACCTAGGATCCAAGAGCAATGGCCTCCAACCTACTAGCGATGGCCTCCAACCTATGCTGTCCGCACTTGTCATTGTGCCATATTGTGCCCATTGTGCCTAGGCCTCCATGCCCTCGCTGGTGCAGACCCTTGCGGTGGCTTTGGGCCACATGGCAATCCCACGCAGCACCTCTGACGAAGCGGATCAGATGAAAGCCTTGGTGAAGAAGATGATGCCAGCAGCTGGGCTCTGTCATCATCCTGAATCCGGAATTAAACGGCCCAGTTTTCTCGGTCGGAGTGTCACACTGAAGGATTGGGGGGAATTCACGGCTTTGGGCAATGAGACTCCCATACCTCTACCAACACTATTTGTGGAGAGGTGGGGAGAGTTGTGCAGGGCATTGAGGCTGGCACCCTCTTCCCCACACAGCTTAGCTGCTGGGCTCTCAACTCTTGCATTGTAGTAGATTCGTAGATTGTGTCTCGTGTTGATTTTGCCCTCGTGTTAAAACATGTTAACACAAGCCTCCCTATGTGTTGCTCCTCATCTCTCTCTCTCTCTCTCGAGCAGGCCAGAGCGTTTTGTCTCATTCTTTTCTCTCCAGACTTTTCTCCTAATTGTCTCCCTTCATTTTCTCTAACTTACTTGACAGCATTGCTCTGGTCTCCCATTGCCTCCTTTTGGATCTTGCATTCCTCAAGCAATGACCAGGGGTTTCACATCTTCTTAAAAAGAAATTAGAGAAAGAAGAAAGAAGGTGTTCGATGGGTCTATTTGACGGGGGCGTATTAAAGGAGCACAGACAAACATTTTCATTTTTCATGTTCATCTGTTTTTTCTCCATGTTCTCATGTTGTTCCTTTTCTCTACTCCTTTGTTCTTTTACCAAATACAGTACCCTCATGTAACTTCAGGGGTTGCCCTTTTCCCGAGGTAAGCCAATCGGAGGGAGATGATGTCTTGGACACATGGACGGAGCAGCTTGAGGTGAGAGCGAGAATGAAGATCCGAAAATATCCAAAGATCAAACACATTAGCAGCACATGAAGGGCAATTCTAGGATGTTGTAACGGACTGGTGTTGCTGAAGGCAGCCTGTCCAAATCTAACTCATCCACATCTCAGCTCTTTTCATTATTTATGTGTTGTTCATATTTTTTGAGGCGGAAAGGTTTCCACGGAAAACTCTGACACACACACACATATATATATAACAAGCTTACATGGTTCGATTACAAACCACAGTCCTGCGTTCACAGTTTTTGTCCTGTTGCGTGTGCAGATGTTTGACCGTTTGACAATGCCACTGGTCAGAGAGAACAAGACCTGGGTGCCCTTTTTGTGAAGAACTAGAAACTGGTTGATGCAGCAGTGGGACTTTTTGGCAAGAATGCAAGAGCACTGAACCTTTTGGGCAGGGTATTGTTGCGGATGGCAACGACTCCGAGAAGAAGTGGGACCGTGTGGAAATGATGATGAAACAGGATAAGGACGACGGATGACGCACCGAGCGTGCAAAGGCACATGTTTTTTGAGGTAGTGACAAGTTATCTAAAGTTGGATTCGCTATGATCCGCTCCTTGCTGCCAATCTTTGATATCCAATGTTGATGGCTCGTGAAGGGGCGTGAACCCAGACACACTCAGAGGCCGAATCCATAGAACCTCATACCTCAATCCTTCAACGTGTTCAGGAGCGGTCAAGACTCTACCGCGAAATCAACGACGGCCTTGGGCAGCTGCTGAGCAGCATTGGCCGAACTTCAGGATGATCTGAACTTGTTCGAGGAACAACTCTTTAAGGATGCGTTTTTTTGTGCCTTATTGTGCATTATTGGCGCTTTGCACCCTAGATTGCATGATCTAAAATGGAAGATGCTATGGCAAGCACACAATCCAGAAAAAGTGCGGTGTAGTCCGCGCACATCACTTGTTCACGACTAATTAGTGACAGTGAGAGTGAGGGCATTTATATATACACTATATAACTCACTAACATGGAAGTGGAAAATGGTCCTTGGAAGGCTTCTTTCCTTTATAACAGGGGGCTTTCCACTTCCATGTTGGTGAGTGGGAGCGTTAATGATGTATTTGGAGCTGCCATTTTGGCCTGGTGTCCAAACTTGCCTGCAAAGTGAGCACAAAGACCACCCGCTCCAATCTGAGTGAACGCATTTGAACGATTTGGCAAGTTTGTGCCACCATCTGCGTCTTCCTGTTTTGGATGCTGTGGAGGCTCTCCTGAACCACCACCCGGTTGTGCAAAAAGTTGGGTCAGGTTGTCGTCCACATTTGTATGCACTTCCAGTCCATTCCATTGCAAAAGAGCACCTGCAGCGACAAAAGAAAAACTGCATCACTTCAAAAACCACTTCTCAGTCTTTTCTACACGAATTGTACCCGCGGATGTGTGTTTGAGTATCGAACTGAGGAAGACTGGGGACAATGATTGAATTGGGTCCGGTCATTTTGAACACCAACCCCGGCAATGCATTCCCCAAGTTGCAACTTGTTGCAGCTCACTCCAGCCCCCAAGCACCGCCAAGCACCCTTCCAATTTGAATCACGAACTGGAACTGAATGCAACATCTATGGTGAAGCTCTTTGAAAGACTCCATTCCCTTGAGCAGGTGCTTTCAACATCTTTCAACCACATAGTTGGGACTGTGCGTTTGGTGGGGTTGAGCTACACCAGAGTGAAAGGGAATGGGGCAAGTGGCCCCAATGGTGTTAGATGTATACCGAATGGTCCCAGAGTATAGAAGGATGCAAACAGCCAACTACTCCCAACATGCCTTCGGCTCAGATCGACTCGGCTCCGCATTCTGAATCGGCTCGGATGTGTGTTCAACTTTGCCACTGAGGAGTTGGCTCTCCATCCTCTTGGCCAGGAGCAAAAAGATTTCTTGGATGGGTGGTTTAGTCATCCGAGCCCATCCCGCCCGGCCTCGGGCCGCATTGCGTGATTTGGGTAAGAAGATGGAGACTGGTGGAATTCTGGGCATGGCCAGATTGAAGGCCAGGCACCTCAGATTCTCCTCCGCTCTGAGATAGATTTGGAGCTTCGCTCTGAGGTCACCTCCTTGGAACCAGAGGACGAACCTCCTGCCCCCCGCGTCAATCGAGGCTGGGAAGCCGAAGCTGGTGCATCGACGGACGAGCTGTGACATGTTGACTAGGCCCCAAGCCACGCTCGCGCTCTCGGTCCCCGATGGGCCGACGAGCGGGAGCGGGTGGACAAGGTGAGGCCAAGCCGAAAGCTAAGGCCAAGGTCGAGGCCTCAGAATGGTCAATTCGAGGCCATTGGGCCGAGGTCGAGGAGTTTTGGGGAGTTCGGAGTTCTTTGTTTCCTGAGGTCGGTCCTCAGGATGGGCAAATCACGGTATCAAGCTGTAGTGATCCACGCCTTGGCTTCACACTGGAGGGTCAGTATGTGAGAGATGGCACCAACCACAACAAGGCCGTCTACCGCCGTATTGCACCTGATCCGAAAGGATCAGTAGAGGCGATCAAGCTATATTATTGGGACGACCGTGATGGCAAGGGAGACCAGGGATGGTGGTTTGGTCCGAAGGTTGGAGGCCCAGAGGTCCAAGCCTCAGACTGTGTGTTGTGCTTGTCGTCATCGTTGCAAACCCTCTCCCCCCAAAAAGAATAAGCAACAGCTGAATGAAGTTTCTCCAGAACGAAGTTGCTACCCACCAGGCCACTGAACCAGCGCCTCATTGGAGAACTTGAGATGTGCTTAGGTTTGGATGCACAACCCAAAGGCTTTGCAATTTCCTCCAGAAGATGGATGGGATTTCGGATTGAAGGTTGCACTGAATCGCCGCGCCCCCGGCGCAGCCCCAAAGGGCAAAGCAAAGGGAAAAGGAAAGGTCTCACCACCTGCACCACCAGCAGCACCAAAAGCAGAAGCTGCGGCACCCTCCATGCCGGATGGCAGGGACACGGCAAGCTCCCCAGCGCCAGCCAGCACAGCTGACTCTCCGAAAGCAGCTCCAGCAGTACCGTCAGCTCCTCCAGCAAAGAAGGCAAAAGTAGAGGAAGTTGAGGAGGACCGGTTTGCCGAGCTCAAGACTTGGTTGAGGTCCCTGAATTCAAACAAACCTGAGCAAATGATGGGATACTACGGCGCCCTGGTCAGTGAGTTTGATGGAGATTTGCGACAGATAGCAGCTGCAAGGATTGAGGACAATCCCAAGCGCCTTGGTGCACCTTTTGTATGTGGATTTCTAGGGTTTTGTGGATTTATGTATTTGTTTGATTCTGTTTGCTGTCAATTGTCTCAGAATGGCTGAACTGCGTGGCTGCGGGAAGCCAGACTATGTAAGTGTTGTTGCATTATGGTTTGAGTGCCGCCAGGGCGTCTCAAGTTGACCAAGTGGAGCCATCGTTTTGGGGTGCCATCAACTGCACCAAAGCAATCGACAAGATCCTTTTTGCGAAAGGGATTGCGAAACTGCCAGCTGCCTAAAGTCCACCAGGCTGGATTTGCTGAGATTCACTGCAGACGGGACACTGTGAGCGGTTGCGAGGCCTTGCCGATTGTGGGTTTCCTATGCCGTGTGCTGTGAAGCCCCCTGGGCTGCCTCATTTCCATCCGTGGCGGCCGTCCCGCGCCATACGATCCGCGCGCTGCGGAGTTTCACGCAACGAGCTCGGCCGAGGCCGCAAGAGCCAGAATAAGAGGGGAACCGGGTTGGGGGACCATCACTTTTGAGATTGGTTGGGGTCTTCGAATCTCACAGTTTTGCATCCAATGAATTCGTGATTGGAACCCTTGTCAGAAGGCGTTTGGACGGCCATGGATTTAGGAGTTTCACTGGTCAAACCTGGACTCCAACACACACACACACATATCTATCTATCGATCGATCTATCTATCTATCTATCTTAATACATACATTGATATGCATCTAGAATCTAGGCTAGACTAGCCAAAATCTTGATTCGTGCTAGCGTGCGCATACTAGCGCGCGAAGATCCACAAGAATGTGCCATCGACATTTAAACCACATATTCCTTGAATCAGATTTCTCAATGATGAGGTAGAACACCTGCAACTACGAGCGATCATGAGTTCAAAGTTCAACAAAACCTTTGCCGAAACTCCCAAATCGAATGCATCTGAGGGCGTGTCTTCAACACCAAGCACCCCCCAGGTTCCCACATAGACTTGTCATGTTTCCCTTTTCCCCGTCTCATTGAGATCCTACCAAGTTCTTCAACGTGACCCTTTGAGATCTCCGATTGAGGCCACTTAAGCCTCTAAAGGGTCACTTAGGGAATCTCAGCTGGTCACTTTGAGGAAGCTGGTGGATTGTTTGTGTCTTTTTTTGGACTCATTGATGCTGAACGTCCGGTGTCTTAAAGCCTAATCTACCCCATACTAGCTGAAGAATCTCATCATATATCTTGCGTTTGCGATTCGCAGCTGTTTTGCTCACTGCCATGGCTAAGACGCCGACGAAAGCCCGGCAAAGAAAGCCTGGCAAGAAGAGTGGCAAGGCGGTTCATTGCACAAGTTGGCTACATCCAACCACCTCACTGTGCAGCACTGCAGGCTGCCACGAAGAAGCAGCAAAAGGTCCGGAAGAAGCATCAAAAGCGAAAGGTGGGTTGTGTTTTTGGTTCACTCTCGGGCTGAATAGTTCAATCTGTTGTCCCAAGATAAGTGAAGAGCAGTTTGCGCAGCAGGCCCGTGCCGAAAGCAAAGTAGATGCGCTGGCAGATGCTTGGCAGATCGATGTCGAGGGATCAAACCGTCCTAGGCTTTGGGTGTTCGACACGCATGCTTTTGCCCCATGGTTTCTGTCTATGGTAGCCGGTTGGTGCCCCACTGGAAGACGTCCTGCACAACCTGGCGCCCGACAATTAAAATTGTTTCATCACGGCAATGCCGAATTTCTTTCACTACCAATAGTGCATACAATCAAATGGACTGGTGGTGAAAATTGCACTTTGTCCGACTTTGTCCCTCAAGTTTAGGCTCGCCGAGCATTGAGCTCCGCAGCCGTTTCTGGCTCTGGCTGCGCAGCTCTGGAGCACCAGGAGCGCCATAATAGGATTATGGTGCTCCTGGAGTAGTGGGCGCTCGGGCCAACCGGGAATGGCAGGCACAACTCGGCGTTCTTTCAACCTTGCGACTGCTGAGGGAAAGAGGACTTCTTGCCCATGGTTGGTTTGGGTGCTTCGTTAGCTAGTGAATTAATTATTTTGGTGGGTGTAACTTTGTTGTTTGTGGTTGTGCCTGTGCTAGGGCTCAAGTTGGCCTGTTTCAGGAACAGATAGAACCCTTGTGCCGCTTTTTACGTCATGTTTCCGACGCCATAACAGGGACCCCTCCGACGTGCCACAGGCAAGCCAGACGCAATGGCAGCAAAGCATGGAAGCTATTGCGTACAGCCAAAGCAGCTGCCAAGAGGATTGGCAAGGACTTCCCAGAGCCATTCAAATTCTTCTTCAACTTCCCAGAGAAGATTCCAGGCTCTTACGCAGAAGCTTGTTATGGAGACAGGGGTTTCTACCATTAGATGTTTCGTCGGAAATTTGCTTTTTTGTGAACTTAAGGTTTTACTTATCTAAAGTATATTTTATCTTATTTTCTCCGATGGTGGTGGCCCAGCTTTACTATCAGCAATCTTTGCGCATAACTTCGCACCATAGCCAAAGATGCGGGAGCAAATGTGCTCGTCTCAGGATCTTATATCTTGGGCCAAAAATATAGCAACTAGATTCTGTGAAGTGAGAGAACATGTTGGCCTGCAAGGCGGTGGAGATGAACTTGACGAACCAGGACGACAAAAAAACAATTCATAACTCGTAGGAAAAGAAAAGGCATCAAAGGTGGCCTAGGCCTAGAGGGTGCTAGATGTTGTCGCAGCAGGCCATGTTGCAGCTGCACTTCATTTTGTGGTTGTTCTTTGTGTGTTTAATGATTGCATTGGATAGAGAAGGTTTTGCTTCGATTGTAGAGCCTTTAATGCCCGCCGTGGCAAATATCTATACCAAGCAGAATGTTGAGCATGAAAGACAAGGTCCTGTCGTGGAATGGTCCTCTCATCAAATTCTTTGATCAATTTGATATGCCATTTGGCTACGGCGAATTCGATTCAAATCCTGATAGCGCTCTAGCCTTTCCACTTAGCTTACAACCACGTCCTGATCCCCTAACGATTCTTCTATCTTTGCCATTTTAGGTTTGAGGAATTTTCGCTCATATAATTCTATTTACATGTTTTGGAGCTGAGACATTTCCGCAAGAAGGACAGCTCCATCCTTTTTGCTACATATAGGACAGCCAAAACTGTGTATCTTCTTTTCGTATTAAGTATTAAAACAAAGTCATTTGTAGGACGTAAACACACTATACCAGCGAAGACATGTTTTTCGTGTTATTATTCGCAAAAAACATTGTCAAATGTGTATCAAATTTGCAGGGGCGCTCACTAAGCTCCTTTCGAGGGAGAATCTTGTACTTCAACATCTTCTGTTTCTAAAGCATGACTGATGATTTCCACCAATCGCTTCATGAAGGGCACCACTTCCAACTATATAGAACCTTAATGCGTCTAACTAAGTATGGCACCTTCGTTGGTGTTGATACGCTGAATGATGATCAATCTTCAACTGGTTGAATACTTGGTTTATGAGTTTCTTTCTAGCAGGTACTGAGGATTGTTCAATATATATTTTTTCGCAATTTGTTTGTCATTTGGCCCTGTAATTGTTTGTCATTTTTTCGGGGGCGGTCACGTGGTGCATCATTTTTGAAACATGTTTGTGTCATCTTTGAAACATGTTTGTGACGCATTTTTTTGTAATTTTGGAGTCATTTTTGTTGTCATTGTTGTGTCATGTTTTGTGATCTTTTGAGGTGTCGTCTACACCGTATGTTTTGAACGCGCTGTGAAGGGAGGGCAGGAGGGGAGGGGAAGGGGAAAGAGGGAAGGGCAGGGATGGAGGAACCTGAATTTGCCAAAAAAATTGGCACCCCGCCCGGGTTCGAGTCATTTTCGGGTCATGTTGAATCATTTTGAGTCATTTTTGTGTCATTGATTTTTTAAAATTTGTTTGTCATTCTTGAACCATTTTCGAAACTTTTCACAAAAAATCGGACACGTGCAAATGATTTCCGCCCAGAACAAATGACACAGCAATGACAACATTTGACACAAATATGACATGCCACATTAGCAACCCACAGAATGACAAATCACAATGACAAAAGCGTGGCTCACAAATGATAAAGACAACAAAATCAAAAGGTTGAAGTTCCAACTTTAATGCTTGGTTCCTCGATCGATAGAAATGAAGTTACAAGATCAGAAAGCTGGTAAAACCAAAGCTGACAGCTGGAGTCACAGCACTCCAGACCAAGACAGAAGATCTTAGGCGTTTCATGGAGGAAGCAAGGCGCATGGAATGCTGCAGAATGGAAAGCTTAGAAAGACCTCCACGCAAGAAAAAGAAAGAAGACCAAGTTGCAAAAGGGCCTGTGATGTATGCCTACGACGGCAGGAAAGTCGAGGTCCAAGCCAAGACAGAATCTGCAGGTCTTTGTCACGTGCTGGATCTACGCAACAGGATTTCTTTGCAGCAAGAAAGAAGGAAACCCGCCACCCTTCCCAATCACGGGAATCGGAACTCGAGGAGTGCGTGCGCTTCCACGCGGGTGTAGTATTGGTCTCAGAGTCAAGGGTCGCAGATTTGTGAATTTATTGCGCGGCTCTTGCGCCAAGAGCCAGGCTCATCTACCAGTCCGGGCTTATGAGGACGTTGGGACGTTGTTGTTATTAGTGAAGAGAACAGCCGAAGCCGGGAAGTGTTTGGGCCGGACCTTGAGCCTGCAGCTTTGCGTGTAATTAACCAATTCCGGCGCTGGGGTCTATTTATTGCACCCCGCGCCAGTGAAAGTGAAAATGTGCCCGTGCTTGTGGGCCTACTTTGTTTTTGAGGCCGGGCCGCTGTTGGTTGTGGTGGTTGGTGTTGGGTCACCTTGGGTCATGCTTGCTTGGTTGGCCTGGCCTTAAGCGGGTTCTCAGCGCATCATTAGATTTGCCCGCAGCCCTAACACTCAACAACTGTTGTTTGGTCCTGCAGCCTTTCGCCCCTCGCCATGTGTAAAGTTTGTAGCCTGAACGTGTTTCTGGCACGGCCTTAGTGGACTACCAGTTTTGTAACACGCACTTGCTGCTCGCCCAGCCTCCTGAATTGGGCCAAATTTCAAAGCCCAGCCAACCCACAAAAGCCCAAGAACCATGCGCGCGACAACGGGGCTTGGACAATTGCTTTTGCTATTGTTTTGTTGCTATGCAGATCGACTACAGCCACAGCTACAATTACAACAACAGCAACTGCTCATACTACTGCTCCTGCTCCTGCTGCTGCTGCTACTACCACTACTGCTGCTTCTGCTACTACTACTGCACCTGCGAGGACGTCGACGACCACTGCGACGGCTACCGCCGCTGCCTGAGACGCAACCTTCAACATGGAAGTTCGCAAGATGCCTGCCATGTGGGAGGGCAAGCGTCTAAAAAGTTCTCTGTGCTTGCAAGTTCCGCAGCTCACATACTTGGGGGCTGGTTCGCATGAGCGCCCAGTGTTGCACACCGTCTCACCCTGAACATTTCAAAGCTGACGCCAACTTACACATGGCTGTCCTGTCGCGACCTTCGCATAGCTGACCTGCCCTCTATGATTCGGGTCACTAGAGGCAGAGGAGTATCTTCCCAGTGGGTCGGCTGAGTGTTTGCAATTTGAGTTGGCTCAAAGGCGCGCAGGTCGATGATGTTGGCGCCGTCAGAGTTTTGGCGCGCCCTGGAATGCGTCGAAGCATAGGGTTACATTGCTGCCGGATCTAAAGGCAGAACATCTGCGACGAACTGAAGCAGATTGTAGTCTACAATCTGGTCCGTGTGAATTCTGCGTGTGGGACCCCGCTCGCACCATGAACTTCTCGTGTTTGTGTCTTTCATAGTTCCTGGAGGTATTGGCTGGGGTTTGCACCACGATCTTCCACCAAGGTATCTTGAGATGTGGATATGGTTTTGGGAGAGCCAGGGTCTCCAACAAGAATATTTAAACACATGAAACATGGTGAACAACAGAAATGGGAAGCCTGCCTGCCTGTGGCCTGAGGACGGAAGGAACCTTCCCGAGCCCAGCTTGTCGGCAGCTCTGTCAGGCACCGTTGTTGTCTTGTTTACTTGGTTTATGTCCATTGGGGACAAGCCGCTCGGACTCAATTTGGGTGGTCATGTTCCGGTGTCTTGGCTTTTCGGACGCAGTGCCTTCGTACCCAAGGCCTAAGGCGCATGTCAAGAGAAGGAGAACTTGTTTGAATCGACTGAGTGTCTGGCGCGAGCGCGTGATCGCAAAGGGAGAGCTAAATGCTGTGGTCCTACTGACAGCTCAGCGCGCCAATAATCTTTCCGGGGGGGCGCTTGTTTCCGCGCAGTCACTCGTTCTTGCTCTTCGGCGTTGGCGGGGTTGTTTTGGAACAACGTGGCTGGTTTTGAATGTTCGTGATTCAATTATGCCTGACAACATGTGTGAACCAGGTGATGGCCCAGCGCTCCAGAGAAGGCGCCACCGTTCCACCAAAAGCCCAACGCCCAACGTGAAATGCTGCTAGACATCCTATTTCAACATGACTCACCAAATCCGAGTTCTACGTGCGCCAGCAGCATCAGTGCGCCATGAGGCAGGGAGCGCGACGGCCATCG